CAACGGAATCCAAAAACTAATGGAGGGTAAGTACCCTTTACTTCAAATTTGATGATTGTCTCCGAACAACTGTGTATTTGTCTTCGAATAAATTTGTTCTGTTTGAACATCAATTTTATCAAATTGAACATCTAGTAAATTGAAATAATATAGAGTGGTATGTTGTTACTTATCGATCTTAAGATCGGTAAGTATATTGATAGGTATTTGTATGTCTGTCTGTGTGTGTGTGTGTCTGTTAGATGCACGCGATATCTCACGAAAGCGGGATTGAATCTGCTCCAGATTTTGCATGTGAATTCATCTTATTTCGGACCAGAATCCTATTGATTTTGGGCGAATTATGTCGTATAATTAGCGAGTTATCAATCAATTATTGATATAGTGATCTAGATTTTTGTAAAGCGAGAGAATTTTGAAACCCCGCCGAGTGTGTGTGTGCGATGCGCAGTGCGCAAGTTACAAGAGCGGATGAATCGAAACTTCAGTTTCTGTTTTGGGGGATCCCCTAACTATCGATCGATAAGTCTTCGGTTTCCAACCGATATTCTCGTTTTTAATAGTCATTCTAAAAGCTGCATTTGCTTTGTGATATTAATATAAAAGCGGCTTTTATATTAATATAGTACAATATAGTACAATATCTTTGCTACTTGCTTTTTTGCGTTAAATAAAACTTATGAAATTGAGTCACTACGTAAAAATGCGTGCATATTGTGTTCAGATATTCACAATAGCTCTGTGCAATCAGAGCGTTTGCTTCAGCCACGCGCGAAATTCTAACGTAAAAACTTATAATTATATATATATATATATATATAACTCTATTACGGTAGTTAAACGGACCTGCCATAATTGCAGTACTTAAGCGGACGTCGTTCCTGTGTCCGTATCATTGTTTTTAAATACGTACTTGGAGACCGCGAGAGCCGTTGACAACTACGGAGAAAAAGAGTCAACACAATCCTCTCGATAACAGATATAAAATTTTTGTCCGCTTAATTCGTCCACTTAATTCAGACCACCAAATGTTTTAGCCTATTTCGGCACTAAGCCGGACCCCTCTTATATGTCGCCCTGGCTGTCTACATAAATGATGCTGCTTTTTATTTTATTACGCATTTTAAAACGTATGACCTCGCTTTAATTTCCGATGGATTCGAACCATTTAGCATTATTTATCACAGAAAATAGCATTTTTTTTCAATGTTCAGTATTTTGTGCAAGGGAGATGCACTGTGTTTGGTGTAGGAAATAATCTTCCATGTCAAAAAATACTCAAAATGCAACGTGAAGGTAGACAAATCGAAACAAATTGGATTCAAACGTAATATATATTTGAAACTGAGAAATACACAGAGCATATCACAAATGTTCGCCTATTCCAACCCTATGGTGTAACATATAGATTAAACAGATGCTATGTTGTGAGTGTCAAGATATCAATACGAAGTCAAAATTATTGCATTCAAATAATATTGATAAACTTGCGCAAATATATCTCAAAATCCGCATATCTATATGGCTAGTTATTAAGCGTACATATAATTGAAAAACAAAATTTTGAAATGCTATACATATTGAGAAACAATACACAAAATATATTTCAAATGTATCACCAATTTGATTGCTAAAGTGTGAAATATTATTTTAAAAAGGAAGTGTGGTATATAATAGTAAAATAAAATATGAAAGTGCTAATTATTTTGAGAAACAATAAAAGAAAATTATATATACGCAGAAGGAAACCGCAGAATGAAATTCGGAAATGCCAATAATATTGAAAAAATATCACAAACTTATCTCAAATGTCCACCTATCCGGCCTTTTAAGTTATACAAATAATTGTAAATGGGAATTCTGGTATGTCATTAATGAAGACAAAAATCACACAAATTCGATTTCAAATGTTCATATATTCGGTCACTCAAATGTGGCACGTAATTGAAAAATGAACACCAGCCCTATTGAGAAACATTACACAAAATATATCTCAAATGTCCACCTATCCGGCCACCTAAGTGTGGCATACAAGAATTGAAATGAAAACTCTGAAATCATATTGAGAAATATTACACAAAGTATATCTCAAATGTCCACCTATCCGGCCACCTAAGTGTGGCATAAAGCATTAAAATGAAAATTCTGAAAACCATATTGAGAAATATTACACAAAATATATTTCAAATGTCCACCTATCCGGCCACCTAAATGTGGCATACAAGAATTAAAATGAAAATTTTGAAATCATCTTGAGAAATATCACACAAAGTATATCTCAAATGTCCACCTAAGTGTGGCATAAAGCATTAAAATGAAAACTCTGAAATCATATTGAGAAATATTACACAAAGTATATCTTAAATGTCCACCTATCCGGCCACCTAAGTGTGGCATAAAGCATTAAAATGAAAATTCTGAAATCATATTGAGAAATATTACACAAAATATATTTTGAATGTCCACCTATCCGGCCACCTAAGTGTGGCATACAAGAATTGAAATGAAAATTCTGAAATCATATTGAGAAATATCACAAACTTTATCTCCAAATGTCCACCTATCCGGCCACCTAAGTGTGGCATAAAGCATTAAAATGAAAATTCTGGAATCATATTGAGAACATTACACGAAGTATATCTCAAATGTCCACCTATCCGGCCACCTAAGTGTGGCATAAAACAATAAAATGAAAATTCTGGAATCATAATTGGGAAACATTACACAAAGTATATCTCAAATGTCCACCTATCCGGCCACCTAAGTGTGGCATAAAAACATTAAAATGAAAATTCCGAAATCGTAATGAGGAAACATTATGCGAAGTATAAATCAAATGTCCACCTATCCGGCCACCTAAGTGTGGCATACAAGAATTGAAATGAAAATTCTTAAATCATATTGAGAAACATTACACAAAGTATATCTCAAATGTCCACCTATCCGGCCACCTAAGTGTGGCATACAAGAAATGAAATGAAAATTCTGAAATCATATTGAGAAACATTACACAAAGTATATCTCAAATGTTCAACCTATCCGGCCACCTAAGTGTGGCATAAACAATCACAACGAAAATTCTGAAATCATATTGAGAAACATTACACAAAGTATATCTCAAATGTCTACCTATCCGGCCACCTAAGTGTGGCATAAAACGATCACAATGAAAATTCTGAAATGATATTGAGGAACATTACACAAATATATATCTCAAATGTCCGAATACCCGACTACCTAAGTGTAGCATACAACTATTGAAACCAGTTCCTGAAATCATATTAAGAAATCTTACACAAATATATCTCAAATGTTCAACTTATTCGACCGCTTTAGTGTGTGAAATATAACTAAAATACGAAATTTCGAATACTAATCATATTTGATGTTGTGGAAAATTGCTCAAAAATTTATTTCAAATGTTCACCTATCCGATAACTTGAGAGTGACAAATATTATAAAACAAAATTTTGAAACCATATTGAGGAACAATACAGAAAATATATCGCAAATCGTCATCTACTCAGCTACGTAAGTGTGTCATGTAAATGCAAAATGATATTTTGGAATGACAATAATATTAGGAAAGCATTCAAAAAAAAATTTCAACCATCCGACCATTTCAGAAGGTATGTAATTAAAACACGAATTCTCCTAAAAAAATATCGAGAACCATTACCACACAACATATCTCAAATGTTCAATTAAGTGACATTTTTCAGTGGGGCCTATAAAATGCGAAATGAAATTTTGGCCATGTCAACTAAAAATGAGAAACATTACACCAATTATAACTCAAATGTCTACCTATCAAGGCGCGCCTAAGTATAGCAGTGATTTATACAGTCAACTATTACAATTGATCAACATGAAAATTATTCAACCCCAATATCAATTTAGAATCTTTGCACAATTTATTTAAAATTTTTGCACCAACTCGGAATACAAAAACATGATTGTTGATTTGATTTTATAATTAAATAGTAAAAATGTATGTCAAGTATGTATACGAATGTGGATATGCCCACTAGATTAAGTTGTTGAGGAGAGACAAAATTATGTGCTCACTGCCGGTTCATCTTTATGAATTATACAGAGATGTCTTAAAATGAAAATTGAAAAAAATATACATATATACCTCATTGATTTCAGCAAATGCTAAAGTTTATCAAGACAAGACAAAACGCGGTTTCACATCACACTGAGTTAAAAATTCGAGTATCAATATCAGTAATGTCAATTCAAGCCGCTTTTGTTCCAAGTCACAAGTCGAGTCATAGCAGATTTCATAAACAACTAACAAATGGGTAAATATGAGCCACAATCACACGAAGACTTATATCTATATTTATAGCAATTCAATATATTCAAAATCAAACTAACATTAAACCATGCATGCACAGGGCAGGTTTTTAGTAACTGCTGCTGCAATACATTGTTCTTTAATTTTACATCAACGCAATATCAATCGACCTGTTAAATCGCAAGTAAACAATTTTTTTGCCATTTCAATGACCCACTCAAAATAATCTTTGTTTTAAATAGAGTCTGTCAGGTATTTCGCATATTTCAAATTCGAGTCAATTCATTTCGTTGGAATAACTCTAGTCACTTTGAGTTCGAACCTGGCGACGTGCATAAACTTGTTGTAGAGTAACTAGTCCAAAGACACCTTAACACCGTTTCTTGTTAATCTATTGATAAATTTATGGCACGGATGAACATACATACATAGATTTCATCTTAGTAGTCACATATACACGTTTGCAAAATATAGAAAGATTAGTTGAAGACAACAACTCTTTATATGAAATATAAATTAGATGAACAGCAGTACGAGATTATTTCTGTGAGTCGAATAACACATACAACTCACGAACATAAACGGACGTTATGCATGACGAACGTAACTTAAGCAATTTTTATATCGAACCATTAATTACCGCGTTGATTTAGTTGGATAGAAATAGAAGAAAACCTCATTCTTAATTGAACAAACCTTCATGACTGTGCATCAATTTGGTCGTGATATTCTCAATTTCCACTTCCAATGCTATAAGTTGAAATAAAAATAAAAGCCGCTTTTATATTAATATCACAAAGCAAATGCAGCTTTTAGAATGACTATTAAAAACAACATACCACTCTATATTATTTCAATTTACTAGATGTTCAATTTGATAGAATTGATGTTCAAACAGAACAAATTTATTCGAAGACAAATACACAGTTGTTCGGAGACAATCATCAAATTTGAAGTAAAGGGTACTTACCCTCCATTAGTTTTTGGATTCCGTTGTTATTCTGAAAAGAAGACAAATAAAGAGATTAGATGCCAACAAGCATTGTCTGAGATTGCCCAGTTAAAATGCAGTCTGAAACCATAGATACATTTTATACGAAAAAGATCGTTAATTTAAGCATTTACCTGAACGACCAAAATCATTCCGCATACTGCTAGTCCAAAAGTTAAGATGACAGCTGTAGTTATGGCGATGTTATACCAACTGATTTTTCGATTCTTTCTTTCCGAGTTTTTTTCCACCAGCATCATCTATAAAAAGTTTATCATAATTTAAGTGACAGTTATCTGGTATCAAAATATAATGTTTAAATGCCACCTGACCCCTAATTAAAGCTTTATTTTGTAAACTTTATTATAGGCATTGTGAGATACTAATATATATACTTTACCTAACAATTATACTCTGTTGAACTATTTGGCCCAGTGACGATTTCACGAGCACGATTCCCGATTTGGCAGTGGAGGAAATCGCTATTTACATTTAAAAAGTAAGAGTTAATACTGCGATTGATAGCCTGTCTGCTACCTGGTCTTGTGGCTCCAGATGACGCAGTGGGATTTATATACTCCTCATAAAAATTTTCGTTTGTCTCCTCTTGGTGGTTCGACGTTACCGTACATATGGGACATATTATTTCACCTTCATTGAAGGCCCAACAAAAATTGCAATAGAATAAAACTTGGACGTAACTGTATTGAAACTAGACCAGCTGTCAATAATAAATCCTAAAAACGTGAGTCAGATTTATTTGAATTCCGTCATAAAGGGCTAAATGCATGAGAGTAACCTTGCCTCTTTTTATCCGACAATATAGATCACAACGTTGAGAACGAAATAGCGTCGGTTTCGCTGTGACAACGTTTTTCATTGGGATCACAATTGTCAGTAAGTCAAGAATTATTTCTGGATATGACTAATCCTCACAATCGACTGCAAGATTTGTTAATATAACGAAATAGCGTCGGTTTCGCTGTGACAACGTTTCTCATTGGGATCACAATTGTCAGTAGATCAAGAACTATTTTTGGATATGACTAATCCTCACAATCGACTGCAAGACTTGTTAAAATAAAGGTAAACCGAGTTGTGGCAATTGTAATTTTACACCTAGCTCTGCACAAACAGTCAAAGAAGTAATCTTTGTTGCAATAAGCAATACTTTTAAATGACGTGGCCCAGAACACGATTTCAAACTAAATGTCTGCTTGCATAATGACCCATCTCTGTTGCAGACCAATGTTTTATATGTCGTGAGAAATACGTAGCCGATTGTTTTAGAATATATATAAAAGTCCACAATATCATAATAGATTTGCGACAAAAAATACTTTCGGGCCCAACTCATTTGAGAACTTCTTTAAATTCGAAGTAAATTCAGAATTATACAAATCCAACGTGTCTATGAACACGAGAAATACTATACTGCCCTGGTTACTGTATGATCCTAATAAACAAAATAGCCGGAACAGCTACCAGGTTCGGCCGGAGGAAGGAAAACGTCGGTTTGTGAAAGTCTTTAAGGTTTGAGAGCGTTTGAAGTTATTGTCTGCCGCAGATTTGAATAAAATTGCTATGTATATGAGGAAAAAATGCTTATTTTACACTTCAAAAAGGCGGGTGGTGGTGGGATCCAAATCAATCCCTGGATTACGCCCCTGAAGAGGATATTTGATTTATGTCGATTTACCTAAAATAGTATCTTCAGATCATAATCGACAATAAATTCAATTCTAATGATCGTCCATGACGATAAAATCTGCCCAGAACTCTTATCTAATTTAGGATGAGGAGAATGGACCAAAATATACCGCGTCATACTTTTAATTATTTGTATAAATATTTTTGACGTAGATCTCTTGTATAAAAGTCCGATTTGCTACTCTCCGAGTATTGCTTTCTTGACCTGAATCCTAGAGAATGCAACAAGGCTCAAAGTACCCAAATCATTCTAACGTTGAAATAATTCACCCAACATTCAATCCTATATTTCTTTGAATGAACTTTCTCTTAAAAAATATTTTGCCTTTGTTACCGTATGTATCCGAAATTTTCAATCAAACTTTTATTTATATACATTGTGAGCATACGTTTATCGACAAAGATTGCTGTAGATTCACATTAAAACTCGAAAAAGAAACAATATTAAACGAAAAATAGATTCCTCAAGATTTTAAGAGATAAACATATAACATATAAAATCTTTGTTCTAATAAATATGTTTGCGGAAACAAATGCAAAAGAAAGCTACTAACAATACTAATACCTATATTACAGTATATTATTCGAAAAGTATTAAAAAGTTCAATTTATGATAATTTTCGAACCTAAGTATTCCAACGTTTAAAATGCTTTAATATTTCCATTGCAAATTCGCAATACGTTTAATTGGAATCGAAGTGATGCGATTATAATTTGAAATAAATATCAAAAATTTCACCGTGATATCATGAAAGAATTTATCTTTTGTTTGTTGTAGTGGCTAGCAAACTTTTAAATTTCAACATCCATTTCTTTCGGAAACCCTTTTATTATCAGATTCAAGATCTTAGAAATTTCTTTTCAGAATATTTGTGAAATTTCGAACGTACACTAGACTGCATTATTTTCGAACTGGAAAAATGAAAGCTCTGAGGTCCATGAAAAGGTTAATGAACCGGCACATCCACCATGGCGTTGCAAATCTCTAGTTCCAAATTTTTTTTTTTCCAACAGCAAGATTTGGAATAAAACGGTCCCAGAGTACTCAGATGCAAAATGACAAATATAACCATAATTGTTTTTGGAAGATGATTCATCTGTAACTAGTAGAAAAGCATAAAACAATTCGTTTGTTAAAAAACGTAAAGCCTCATTTGGTTCCAACACAACTAAAAAACATGAAAGCAGATTAACAGTTAAGACAAAACGATACATAAACATTTTTTATATAAAACAGTAGAGTTTTCAATACTAGCCTAAGATTTATTTAAACAAAATATATATTCTGTCAAAAGACAAACTGCATATTTTTCAAGAAAATTAATATTCAGACAAAATCTAAATATGTCAATCGTTTAAAGAATGTAAGCAACAAATTATCATTGTATGACGTAAACATTCATCCATGTACATATTCTAAATTTCGATAGACTTTTACCAACAGCATTGTCAAATTTGTTCAAGTTCTTAGATAGATGTATAGGTTTAATATAACAGATAATCGCTATTATAACTGCCTTGATAATTTTTGTTAAAGAATTTCCAACGAAATTTCATTTATTGACTCGTCATAGAAGTTTAGTTAAGATTGTAATTTATCAATAATGTTGTGGGCCTATATAGTAAATGATTTTTTTGTACTTCATGATTCCGGCACAGAATCGCAGGCAACGGAAATATCTTCGCCATTGTCACAATTGTGATTGCCCCAACCTATATGTCGCAACAAGTGATGTCGCTTTCAATTCCAGTGCATTTGACGTTATCGCGCCATATCTTCCCATCGCCTTTTCCAAAGTGCGCATTACTATAATATCTTGAAGCATTTCCGAAACTAAGCAAGTGACAGACAACGTTTGATTCTTCCTGCCCCCAGCCATCATCACAGATCGTCCCCCATATAGCGTTCTAACGAACTTCAACACGACCTGAACGTTGAGTGATGTTTTCTCCAACCAATCGCACAGCCGCGGGATATTCTGAATACAATTACATACTTGAATATATCTGACATCAACTTAGGAGGTGATTAATGTTAGTAAGATATACTTATATATATCTAATACGGTAGTTAAGTAGACATACCGTGCTAAAAAAGCGACAGTTATGTAGACGGAAAAATTGGGTAGACATTTTCCTGTCCGCTTAATTATTCCACGTTCCATAATTAAAACGTTTTGCTATTTTTTGCTGAAATCTCTTTTTCTCTGATAAAACAGTATCAAAAACAATATGTTCTTTCAATATTTTCAAAATATCTGCATATTTTCGCCAACTTTAAGGGGACAGTAGTTCTGCTGGTTTATAATCAACGGGTATAATTTTCGTACACTAAGCGGACATTTTGTTTACGCTAAAATCTTTTAATTTTTCGGTTATATGTCTTTACGATTTTTGGAGAGTAGGATTGATAATTTGATACAATAACCAGGCAGAACATGAAGATCGTTCGTTCTGTTTTTGCAATATAAGCTCAATAAACTGAAAAGGACCTCAATTCACAACTCCGTACTAAAGAGGCTTTGTGTGCAATAGTAAAACTGTCGGGTTTGCCGAGAACTTACCTACCACGTTTGCCGTTTTGTTCGCAAGTAACCTGGACGCCGTGAGGGGATCGGGATCTTCATGAGTGCGTGATTGCAGAAATTTAGATAAAATAGAACAGTTGTGTTTGGAGAAGCGATCCAAAGTCTTTTGTTGTCAGGTTTTATCAATTACCCAGTGAGTTGAAGTCGAGTCATAATAACTTGAAACAAGGTTTTCAACGTCACCGAAGAATGCTGCTGGAAAATCATCACTCATCGATAAGGTGATTAGTCATAACGATTTTTAATATTAGGGGGTACTATATTTTTGTTCTAAGTGATTCAAGAGTCTTTGCTGCACACTAACACAATTATATTTACTATGTATGTCTGAAGGAGTCTGATCTTGGTCAGACGAAACGTTACAGAAATATAATTGTGTTAGTGTGCAGCAAGACTCTTGAATCACTTAGGACTGTAGGATAGTTATCTTTACTCTTGCTACAGCATCCTTGCACTATATGCATACGGATCCGCCGACACAAAAGCATAGAAGAAGGATAAGTAGTTAGTCTTGCAGAAACAAATCATTAGCATATATTTTTGTTGTTGAGATTTTTCACTTATTCCTGATTATCAAAAGACTACTGATACTGTTATGCTTTTACTGGTCGTAGTTCTGATCTGACCATCAAGATATTGCTACGACTGGGTTTGCGTTTGTAAGAGTGTGTAATTCAGAAGGATTTCTAAATCCAGATGACAATACAAACGAAGATTATGAAAATTCAATGAATTCAAATTTTTCTCGAAACAGAAGGAGATACGAGAAGCGAGTGTTGACGCCACTTATATAGGTTTGTATAGCTTTGTATAAATAAAAATATCTAATACAACCGCTTCATATTAGATTAGAATATTTTGTCTTCGGAAAACAGTTTTAAAGAATTGCATTGCTAGCAATTTTGTTTTGTGATTTGGCACATATCCCTGTGTTATTTTACCATCCTCATCTAGTTATTTACTGGGCTGTATTTTTTGTTCACATGTAAGTGACTCTCCAACGAGATGGTCTACGTTTCAGAACTTGGCAGACGGAAATGCGGGTAGTGATTCGGAGAACGCTGTGCCAGGAGGTGATTAAATTAGTTTGCTATGCTAGTTTTTAATTAAATACGGTATCTCAAATTGATACCAATGAATGGTAATAAACCAAATCATAATATCAATTGTAGCCCATCACAAATAGCGCAGCTATCTACGAATAATTGTAGTGTACCGTTTAAAAACACTGTTTGGTGCTCCCGAAGTATGCGAACCAAGATGGCGGACATCGGAACGTAACATGGGTAACAGGTTAGGGTTAGGCGATAATTTTTTTCCAGTTTTCCTTATTTTAGTCCTATTATCAGTTCGAAGACTAGCCAAGAGCCTCCCGTAGTATTTATACCTAAAATTATGGCCTAACCCTAACCTAGTACACATATTAAATTCCGATGTCCGCCATCTTGATTCGCATACTTCGGGAGCCCCCACTGTTTTATTTGAGTAATAATGCAATTCCCCATTTCAAACACTTCGTTTGTTCGGTCAATCAAGAGTACCGTAATTCTGATTTGGACTAGAACACTGTGATGATGTTTTGTGACTTATGCATGTATTTTTGACCAAAGTTTCAGATTAGTCAACAGACTATACCGCACCATCTTCAGAATCACTTTCAATAAGCAATGTAAGTGACTTAAAAGAAAATCATATATACGGAAAAGAAAAGGGCTGTAAATCAATTCCAAAAAAAGCTTCTAAATAAACGTGAACCAGAAAAGAAACGACGAAAAAAAAAATAATTGCACGGCTTTGTATATCTTGCGAGAAGTTTATTGTAAAGCTTTAAATAGCGATTTCATTTTCAAATTAACATAAAAACGTCCATATTCTTCATTTTAACTCACAGAATTGGAGATGAAAATGGTAACAATGGATAATCGTATAAGAAAGATTGAGACTGACACCAACTTGATCCGCGTCAATCATGAAGGTTTGTGCAATAAGAATTATTTCATGTTATCCATCTCATTCGATAAGGTGAACGATGTCCGAATATGGCAATTTAATTTAAGGTGTAGGCTTATTTGATTTTCATAATTTTATAAACAATAGATGAGACAATATTCAGAAACAATCCTTTTACTTTGGTGATGCTCCTGTTAAAATGCAATAATAAATTTTAAATGGTATTTATTTTTTATTAGTTTCAAAAGCTGCATATGATTAGTGATAGTATTATAAAAAAAAACTTTATTTTTTATTTGAACTAATAGAATCGGAACTGAAAATTGAGAATCTTACGATCAAAGTGATGCGCAATCATGAATGTTTGTTCAAATTGTAATAAATGGATTTTTTTTATTTTAGTCAATCATTATCCAGCTTAGCCAATAAGGTAGTTGATGGCTCAATATGAAAATTGCTTATGGATTCGTTCGTGATGCACAACGTTTGTAAATGTATATGTTATCCGACTCGCAAAAAATGCTTTTATAGTCTTATCTCGAACTCTTCTTTCTATATTAAGCAATCGTATAAAGTTTACGATTAAGATGATCATGTTCACAATATTAGAATCCAAGGAAATGCTGAAGATGGCATTTTATTTCACTAAAATTTCTATATATACAGTCTTGACCACGAAATTAATTGAGATTGCAGTTTCGCTCATGGCGTTGCCTTCATGCCTCGACTAATAAATAATAACAGAGCATCGAAAGGGGAAATTACATGCCATAATAGCTATGTATGTAGGTTTATCTGTGCGATAAAGATAACAGTACATTAACAAGAAACTTTGAACAATAATGTTTACTCGACGATTGACCCGAGAAAATTTCTTTCTACACTCTGCCACTGCGAAATTACTTATGCTTATTTTGAAAGTTTTTCCACGAGTTGCAGCTTCAAAACTAGTTTACTTGTTTCATAACCGCCATGACAGGGCAAGTAATAGATATTGCCATTGGATATTTAATCATTGTCCTTCATTGAAAACGTCCATAGCTACCGCTAAATGCTTTGCTTGTAAGGTGAATTACAATTTGTACCCTGAAAGAGCCGAACAGTGGTTTTGTATGTTTTTAGAGCGCGTCTGAGGCCTGGCCCTATTTACAGCATGATATGTTTATATTTTGGCGTCACAGTTGATCGCTCGCTGTACGACATGATCTAGATCCGCCGGTCATTCTCGCCTATATCTTCATTCTCAATGCCATCACACGAAAGTATAAAGAGTATTCGTGTATTCACTGTATATATATATATATATATTGTGTATATATGTAGGCCAAAGTGTAACCTGACAATAGATTCAATAGCCAAATTTTGAAAATTGTTCAATTGGATTCTAGATAACAGATGACAAAACTTTCATAATTTTATAGATTGGATCGTCTGAGATATGACATATTGCTGAAATTTACGTTATCGCGAGTTAAAATTCGAACACACATAGATCAGCGAATTTTAGGCCAAATTTGAAAAAATTTTACCAGTCGATGCGGAAATTTCGTATTTCTATTTTCAAGGAGTGGTTTCAAATACCTTTGACTTTTGGCCCCCGAATGAAAAATTTGTACTATTGTAGTTGTACTGAAAATTTTAGTATATTTAAAAAAAAGATTTCAATGAAACAAAACTAAAAATAGTATTATAATTAAAATTCATTGAATAGTTTTCGAGAAAATTGGGTCTAATTATTTATTTTTTTTTTTTTGGTCATAACTTTTGATATAATTAGTACAAAAAAAGTTGGTACCAATTGGTATTGGTATTCAATTGGTATTCCAGAGACGCATCCAACGATATATTACTTAATGATATTGGATAGCTAAAAAAGAAATCATTTATTTGCAATTTTGAAATTTGCAAATAAATGGGGTTGAGAAACTTATTATCGCATATCGAAGTTACTAGGGTTTCATCGATTTTTTTAATTTTTCGCCGTTGATGTCTGTTTTTTTGTTATATTCAAATATATTTGAATATAATAAGTGCATTGCACGTACTTTCCATCAACTTTAGGCAAAAAAAACTCGAAAATATCGCTTCATGATGAATGGTGATGTTATCAAAAACGCAATTTTCGCCGTAATTATCATACCGTTTTCTAGCGATAATATGTTGTATGAGCAAGTTGAAACTATACCTAGTATTTTGGTACATCACATCATTAAATCGAACCATCACCTGAATAATTTACCATTTTTTAAACAAATATAGTTATCATTCTGGGAATGAGAAGAAGAATCGCCGAAGTATGAACACTCAAATTCCCGCAGAATTAAATCCAATAGCCCGGCCTAGTAAAACAATAAAATTAGGGTACAAAGGGAGTGAAAGTGGAAAACGAAATAACTCGGCATCGGCATGAGCGACTTAGACTTGCGATAGAAAGTTGTTCTAATTCCTACATTTTCACGAGTCTCAGTAACAAGTTGTATCCCATTTGTTAATTAGGAATACTGTCGCTAAAAGGATCACAGAGCTTTCAAATATGCCACAGTTCGTTAAAATAGATTTTAGAGCTAATTAGCTCTTTGTAATCTGAATTTCAACTGTGCAGCGTTCAATTTCCGATTGCCAGGTTTTGAATTTTTCAGAGTGGGATGCGTCCAAAATAGCTCACAATGTACTAGAGGTTACCATAACTCATTTGCTTATGGGATAGTCGGAAATTAGTTACGCCAGTTAATGTAGTTAGTATTATGTATTTCCAACAATATGAAAAATCACAGTGACGTCATACGGTTTTCTGAGTGGAATTACTTATGGCGCCATAACAGAGATGTTCATGTCATGTGATGTCATAAATTAATATAAAAAAATTCGCAAAATACGAAATTTCCGTTGTACCGAAGGTCCGTATGATAATCACGCAAGTATACTGAATAATAAGTTGAATATAAAAAACTAATAAACCGCGTCACCAGTAAACTTGAAGTCATAGTAGCTATTTCTATTCGTGCCAAAGAAGCAGGGACTTGACCCAAATCCTACCATCCTATTTTTACGAAATCGCTCATCTCGGACTTCAAAGAGAGAGGTGTAGGAGTATTATTAAAACGTATCTGGGCATTATTTGATATGTACAACAAGGGTGATATGGCAATATTGTTAGCAGCGCAATGCAGATCGTGGCTTTATATAGAAGTATGTTTAGACAGCAAAAATCGCCATGTAGTTTAGAGTGACTGCTCTGTACCATTGACCGACAAACAATTCCATTATGTCAAAGTAACACCGTTTCTTCCACATGTTTTTCAATGACCCAAAATTATCTTACATACTATAAACTTTCCATTTTAATGTTCTCAAGTTTGCTTGAAAAGTTTTTCTGAACTTTGACAGGCGTTCCTTCCGTACACGATCTCCTGTCAGCATCGTATTTTCCCTAATCTGTTATTAGAAAAACAAAAAATAAATTTATTTTACAAAATAATATAAAGTATATCTTTCTAAAAAAATATTGGACTATGTTAAAACACATAATGGGCCACGCAAACTTTATTTGATCTAAAATGCATCTTGAGAAAAAAAGAATTTTGCTGAATTGGGTTGGGAAAAATACCATATTGCACCGGTATGAATGTTTCACATTCATTTATCGATACATATAGGACCTTGCTTATTATGGAATTACTTTATCTCTTTTTGTTAGCTTCCAAGCGAAATCTAGATAAGGTATTTAGTAATCAAGAATGTGGTTAAGAATATGGGACTTGTTGGTGAATCAAATGGTTCACATCAGATGTATAATTAGTTAATTTTCCGATTGAGCAATGCTAGAATGTACAGAATTGATTAGTTTGAATAACTTAATTTTTATTGCTCAGAACAAAACGCAATCAGGTGTTTCAAAAACAAATGGATATTTGACATTATAACAGTTGTTCAATGAATTATATTCGCCTTTGAAGTAATGAATTGAACTTTGGCAACTTCATTCACGAGCTGTAGTATACAGTGATTGCCCAGTCGTTCAAATAAAACTATTATTATGCAACTTACTAAATATTACCTGGCACAACACAATATTAACAACATTATAAAGTTTTTATATATAGTTAATTGAACTGATACATCGGCCAACCCTGAAAAAAAGCTCACTCCTAATAATATCACAAAACAAGAGAGCAACGCCCAAATATATGGACACGTGGACTAGGGCGAAGCAGGGTTTACTTTTGACGTTACCGGTACCGTACCCTCAAAAAGTTCGGGTTTTCAGTCGCAAGAATTTTCACAGTCAGCCGTCACGCTTGGCGGATTAAAAACCGTTTTCCCATAATTAAAAATTAATACAGCGCAATTTTGAATGAAATATTAGATCTCATAAGATTCATAGAAAATTCAGGAATAAATGAAAGTAATAGCCTTCTGGCAAAAAAATCAATCTTGAACCACTGAAAATTCCAAAGCAATTGGTCCAGTATTCGAAGAGCGAAGCGATTTTTTAATGATAATGACGAAAGAAAATAACAATAACAACAAAATTTTGAAACGATTGTTATGGGCACTAAACGTGTCCAATAAAGATAAAATTACCTAGACTCTCAGTTGCGTTCGTCTTTCACTGTCCTCTCCAACTAGAGTTGTGATGAACAGAAATTGTCATAAAATCAGGTTATTTCCCACCAATCTGCCAATGAGAATTTAAGAAGCGCAACATGTTGGCTATTCCGAACAGTGTCGCTGTATTACCGTAATACCGTTCCGCCGCTAACTACCTTTACATGCGAAATCCTATTCTGTCGCAATGTAGAGGACTATCACGAATGCTCCATATATTTTCATGTTTACCATAATTAGGCAGTGAGATACTTTGCAGACTCAAAGTGATAACATTATCCCAAACTATTTCTTTGTATACCATATCTCAGATCCTTTCCCGTCGCCCAAATACAGCGAAAATAACCATGTTAGCGATTAACAAAGTGTGCCGCTATCTTTGCTATAAGTCATTTTCATATCATGGCTTCGGTTATTTAGAGTTTAGACCAATACTTCCGTTACCAAATAGAAATGAAAAAACATAATAAATATGTGTATTTTAAGTAACTATGCAATTAATACAATATGATTGATTTCATAATATTGTGCATGAATGGTCGCTGCTGGTAGCAAGCGCCGCGAAATAAATGTACTCGCAATATTTGTTAAGCTTGAATAGAAATTGAATTTTAATAATACTTAAAATATACAGAATATCTCAGTCAAGCATTGCGTGCGGATTGATCGGAATATAGAGAAAATTTATCTCGACTTGGTCGGAGAGTTTCTGCAGGAAAAGAAACAATTTATATTATCTTAGATGGAGCGATTGCAAGTGTTAATTGCGATTTTAATGAATCGAACTCATGGACAGTAACGTCAGTAAGAATATTAAATTAATTTTAACAAGCCTCTTGACCTAACCCTTTGATATTGACTAAATCAGATTTCACACCATCACGAAAAAAAAAATTTGTTCGATAGCCATTCAAGATTATGAATGATAAGAAACCACAATAAGCTTGTGATAGATCTCTCATCCTAAATTAACGCGAATCAAATTTAATTCATATCTGAAATTTCTTCAATTGGAAATTTAATCAACGTCGCATATACTTGCTGCGGTTTATGTTTATTACTTCTTCTTTCCAAAGTGTATCAAACTCTCTTACACATTTACTGAAAATTTTCACTCTTTTTTGAATTACAAATACGAAAAAAATGAATAGTAACTAACTCCTAGTTAAATCCATTATAATTAGTTATTTTAACTAATGTTTTATGATATGACATTTTTTGTGTTATTTATCAAAAAAATAAACTTTTCCATATTTTCCTTGAGGTTATTCAACGTAGAATGGATGGGAGTGTCGATTTTTACAGAGGATGGGAGGAATACAAGAAAGGATTCGGAAATCCCGATGGAGAGTTATGGCTGGGTAAAAAGCTTATTTTATAAAGATTTTATGCTTAAAAAATCCTAATAAAAAACGCATAAAATAAGTTATTGTATAAAAGAAATATTTGTATACTCGTACTTTATTTTTTAATTTTCATATTTTTTCATCAGGTCTAGATAAGCTCCACAGAATGACATCAAGAAAAAACTATAGTTTACGAATTGATCTTTTAAACTGGGAAGGCGAAAGAAGATATGCAGCTTACAGGTCTCCTGTTATTTTATCTTAGGAATATTATTTTTTCACGACTGAACACGTACGCAAAACATTTTTAATATCACTTACTTCCGAAGTCGCGGCTCTCGATTTTTGGTGTATGCTTCAATAGATAAGTATTTAGGTATAATACAAGTCTTATTATCGGTGCGTATGCAAAGCGAGTCATATTGATAAAGTATGTATTTCAGGAAATATAAATGATGTCATTAAAACAAATGATCTGTTTTGGGATTAGAGATCGTAGGTGTTGTAAATTATGTACGTTTTCGAAATGTTTGGTTGTCAGAACTGATGGATATAGTCAACTTGCAAAAATGCGCATGTCCTATGAGTCACGTGCTGGCGTCATACAAATGAATTTAGATCTGGCTGCGGCTAAAAAAATGAACTCTGTGAAATTATTTACTCTTAATGGCATAACAATATCTTCAAGAAAAAATGACGCAAAAAATGACTCAAAACTGATAAAAGTGACTTATACGTAATTTTGTTATTAGCGTGACGATATTATATTGATGACTTAATTGGTAAACATGAAAAATTTTTGTACAACTTATTATTTTATATTTTTGATATATATGTTCAGTACCTTCCGAATTGGAGACAAAGATTCATATTATCGTCTCACTGTATCGGGATACTCCGGAAATGCAAAGGATGGGATGAATTATCACAATGGAATGTCATTTACTACCCATGATAGAGATAATGATCGAGGCAGTAGTAACTGCGCTGTATCATATCACGGAGCATGGTGGTATAAATTTTGTTATCACGCAAATCTCAATGGAAAATATTACAAAAGTTCGTCAGGGCCTGGAGGCAATGGGGTATCTTGGCAACTTTGGGACGGGGATAATTATTCTCTCAAATTTGTCGAAATGAAGATTAAGCCAAATTAGCAAGCAATTTGCTAATATTGATCAAAATTGAATGAATTCCTAACATCAGTAAATAGTTCACTTCATACATGTTCGAATATGACTCGTATAGAAATCATCTTTGAGCTTCATTGCCTCATAACTGACTGAATTTGGTGATGGCAATACATTGCAGTAATAAATTTTTAACTTGGTAAAACATCCGTTTTATGGAACAGTTGCACCAACTGACCGTGACCGTCAAATGGTATAAAATTACGAAACTTTTCGAATTCAATTTCATTATACGTTTGAAATATATTTGTATATTTACTTTTTACTTGTGTACTTTATTTTTGCATATTGGCATCATTAAAAATTTTGAACTACAAACAATGAGTTATGCCTCAATCGAAATCACGCTGTCAGAATACACTCACTCAAGTGGGCTGTGGCAAAAAATATTTGCTAGAGAAAACATCTGAAAATTTTCAGGGTTTCATCATGAAAGTTGCTTCAAATTAACTATGGAACTGTGAGGATATTTTCGGGTTGTTTATTCATTGGGGTGGTTTAAGCAAGGGTATATCGATTAGGTGATTTTGTATTTATATTGGTTTGAATTGGTAAATTAAGGAAGAGTCAAACGAGATAGCGATCGGAAGCCGTCGACTTATCGATCTAGCGGCGTGAATCCTCCGCTCTGACTCAATAGCGACACCGCGTATTCCATCACTAATTAATTGATACCTCGCTAATTATACGACATAATTCATCCAAATCAATAGGCTTCTGGTCCGAGATATGATGAATGCACATGCAAAATTTAGAGCAGGGTCAACCTCGCTTTTGTGAGATATCGCGAGTGTCTAACAGACAAACAGACAGATTAGTTACCGATAAGTAATAACACTAAAGGCTGTTTCTGAAACATATCAAGTTCGCATTTCTGCATGTATATCGTTATCAATCGCCGTCAAAGATAGCATGATTAGGTATTTACTTGTCCATGGGAAACGTCACTTGGGATGGGATGGGACAGCTCAACTTCGTATTTCCCATGGGACCACGAAATACCGTATGGTTTTTGGGGAAATGATGGTAAAATATTTCATTATGGACTCGATCATCATACTCTGTTCACAAAGATATAGAATAGACAGTGCTTCCGTCAGCTTAGAACCAAAAATAAGATTTTCTCCAAGAATATTTAATTATATTTATCACCAACAGCTATTTGTAACAACAATTTCTTCTTGTTTTGCACAGTTTTAATAGAAAATCATTACAAATCGAGTCCATATTTAGTTTTTTATGTAAGAGAGACTGTAGCCTACAGGCTGTAGGTTGAGGGTAAAGTTGGTGAGTTTTGGTGGGTATTTACTTTCATGGAAAACAACACTGAAGCATAGTCCCCAAAATGAGAGTACTCCCGAAGTATGTGGACCAAGATGGCGGACATCGGAACGTAGTATGTGTACCAGGTAAGGATTAGGCCATAATTTTATTCCAATTTTTCATTACGAGTTCGGGGACTAGCCAAGGGACTCCCGCAGTATTTGTTCCTGGAATTATTGCCTAACTCTAATCTGGTACACACACTACGTGTCCGCCATCTCGGTTCACATATTTCGGGAGCACCAAATGTAGGAGATCAAGACTCGCGATTGAAAACCCTGAGAATATAGAAATAGCCTTTAATACAGGAGGGCCAGATACAATAAATTGGTTGAAATCGCGGGCTGCACCTTTTTAACAAATGCGTTTAAGTAGTTACAGGCACAAAAGTTTCCGTTATTGATCTTGTGACATGCGTTGTTTGCACAAGCTAGCTGTTAAGGCATTGTAAGGCATAGCTAATAAATTGGACCCGGGTATAGGATTCGTAAGGCAAAGGGATTTGAATTACTCGCACGTACTGAATTAATTCAGAAACTTGTATCGCGGCACTGGCTTTCAAAACTGGCACGTCTCCGCGGGTCGCACAAATTTTCCTTGAGTGCCCCACATGGCCCGCGACCCGCAAGTTGCACACCCCTGTAGTTTATAATCGGAGAAGTAAAGACAACAGAATTGAAATATCTAGCCTTAGGTCAGTATCCCAGCTCCATATGCGCCGTAGGAGTAGGTAAAAATATTGTTCAGAAAAACACTCGTGGCAGCATTATATCACATAAACGATATATTCGGCGAGATGGTATACGCATGATGAAGACAAAAATTTTCGAACAAGATACAATCTTTATTTTGATTATTTGTCATGCTATTGCTATGTGCAATTTACTGTTTAAAACGGGATCACCCAATCCGTGGAGCGTGGGCCACAAATGGCCGGCAGAAGAGTTCCGAGTGGCCCGCTCCGTATTTTTCGAAATTAATAAACCAAACTTAACCCGACGTCCCCCACAAAGTTGACACCTCCAATAAACAAAATCAAGTAAATTATTATTAAAATAATCGTATACCTCGTCGTTCAAACGAGCGTTATCACATGTACCAAACCGTGCGCTCTGGTCGACATCGATGTTTTTTTCATTTCTCGAAGGACCGCGCGTTTTGCTCAAAAAAATTAAAGGCTATTGTGCGATTATTCGTCGAGGAAAATTGAAGGAACGAATTTGCAACCCAAATTTCAAAATTTAATTCAATATGATTATTAGCTTTCGGGTAGGTTTTGATCATCCTTATCGCCACCGTAAAATAAAAGGTGTACTGTAGAATATCTTTGCTACTTGCTTTTTTGCGTTAAATAAAACTTATGAAATTGAGTCACTGCGTAAAAATGCGTGCATATTGTGTTGAGATATTCACAATAGCTCTGTGCAATCAGAGCGTTTGCTTCGGCTACGCGCGAAATTCTAACGTAAAAACCTATAATTATATATATATATATAAGTATATCTTACTAACATTAATCACCTCCTAAGTTGATGTCAGATATATTCAAGTATGTAATTGTATTCAGAATATCCCGCGGCTGTGCGAATGGTTGAAGGAAACATCACTCAACGTTCAGGTCGTGTTGAAGTTCGTTAGAACGCTATATGGGGGGCGTATATCTGTGATGATGGCTGGGGGCAGGAAGAATCAAACGTTGTCTGTCACGTGCTTGGTTTCGGAAACGCTTCAAGATATTATAGTAATGCGCCCTTTGGAAAAGGTGATGGGAAGATATGGCTCGATAACGTCAACTGCACTGGAATTGTAAGCGACATCACTTGTTGCCGACATATAGGTTGGGGCAATCACAATTGTGGTCATGGCGAAGATATTTCCGTTGCCTGCGATTCTGTGCCGGAATCATGAAGTACAAAAAAATCATTTACTCTATAGGCCCACAACATTATTGATAAATTATACAATTTCAACTAAACTTCTATGACGAGTCGATAAATGAAATTTCGTTGGAAATTCTTTAACAAAAATTCTCAAGACAATTATAATAGCGATTATCTGTTTGAAAAACTTAGATAGAGGTTATGCAATGTACACACTTAAACTAGGGTTTGATGATTTGAAAAAACTATGCAAATATAATCCAACTATAATCGTTTTATAACGATTGGCACATTTAGATTTTGTCTGGATATCAATTTTCTTGAAAAATATGCAGTTTGTTATTTGACAGATTATATATTTTGTTTAAATAAATTATAGGCTAGTATTGAAAACTCTACTGTTTTATACAGAAAAATGTTTTATGTATCGTTTTGTCTTAATTGTTATTCTGCTTCATGTTTTTTAGTGGTGTTGGAACAAAGAGCGCTCCACGCTTAATTAACAAACGAATCGTTTTCTGTTTTACTACTAGTTACAGATGGGATCATCTTCCAAAAACAATCATGGTTATATTTGTCCTTTTAAATCTGAGCACTTTGGGACCGTTTTGAACCGAATCTTGCTGCTGAAAAAAAAAGAACCAACACGCCGGTTTCCTCCAATAGATTTTGACCTAGAGATTTTTCATCAGCAGGGTGGACGTGTCGATTCATTAACCTTTTCATTGACCTCAAAGCTTAATTTTTTAAGTTCGAAAATAATGCAGTCTAGCGTTTGTTCAAAATTTCACAAATATCTGTAACGAAGTTTCTAAGTTCTGGAATCTTACTTAAAAGGGTTTCCGAAAGATCTGGATGTTGAAACCTAAAATTTTGTTAGCCATTTGCATAAACAAAGGGTATTTTTTTCATGATATCACAGTGTAATTATTGATATTTATTTCAACTTATAATCACATCACTCCGATTCTAATTATCTGTGTAGGAATAAAACTTAATGTATTATACGAATCAGCAATAAAAATATTAAAGCATTTTGAACGTTGGAATGCAGTGGTACAAAAATTATCATAAATTGAACTTTGTAATAGTGTTTTCGAATAATATACTGTAATATAAGTCAGTGTTCTTCAACCTTTTTTTTAATCGTGGTATACCTTTTACCATATTTCAAGAACTTTGGGGGCTCCCGAAGTATGCGAACAAAGATAGCGGACATCGGAATGTAATATGTGTACTAGGTTAGGGTTAGGTCATAATTTTATGCATAAATACTACGGGAGGCTCTTGGCTAGTCTTCGAACTGATAATAGGACTAAAATAAGGAAAATTGGAAAAAAATTATCGCCTAACCCTAACCTGTTACCAATGTTACGTTCCGATGTCCGCCATCTTGGTTCGCATACTTCGGGAGCCCCGAACTTTGTATACCTTACAAATACCAATGTTAATTTAAGGCTTAAATAAACATTAAATTTTAAGCGCATATTGTACTGCGTTATCATCATGCAATCTAATAGGCTAGTGTCCGCAAGTTATAAATTTGACTGGCGGCCTTAGCGTCAACGGGAATACTGTTCAACATAAATCAAACGAAATGCATGGCGGCCGAAATCACCAATCCAGACACTTGACCGCATTATCTATAATTTGTGATATAACAATGTGCTCACGTCGGTTCTTTGCGTAAATGACATTTTATATTTCATGTGCGCCGCGTTTGCATTGTCTCCGCTTGAATATTATATAAATTATTATATTATAGTTTAGAATCCTTGACTTAGGCTGTACATCCTTCGTATAGCCTTTATCAGTTGTATACCAAACTTACGGTCCGGTATACACTTGGGTATACCGTATACCCGGTTGAAGAGTACTGATATATAGGTATAGGTATTAGTATAGTTATAATACAGGCCTGGGCAAGTTGCGACCCGCGGGCCACATCCGGCCCGCGGCAACGTTTTATCGGGCCCGCGAGCAAGTTTATAGATTTAGACACTTTTTTTCATTTACATATAAAATATACTTTGATTGCGCACAAAAGAATTTTTAGGACA